TCTTTTATATTTTTACTTTTTACTTTCGGATCAACAGGGGGGCCTTGGCCCCCCTTTCCCCCCCCCCCCCTAACTACGCCACTGCGCGCCACTCGCACGGCATCACGCCTAGGTGCTTGGCCTGAGCACAGGCACTTGGAACGTCTCAATAAAAAAAATTATGGTAAATAAACACGAAATGTATTTACTACCAGTCTTTTTTTATTCATGTTGTTTGTGCACAGGGCGTGCAGGCGGTGTACTTGTGTTGCAGATGAGCATTTGACCGGCATTTACGGGTAATTATCGGCAATAATAGGCGAAATAGAGTAGAGAAACATTAAGACTTTGGTAGTAAATGTTTATTTACCTTTTTTTTATTGAGACGTTCCAAGTGCCTGTCTGAGCGCATGCAGCAGGGCTACAGGAACATTTTCACAACGATGATGTTAAATTTGACAACAGCGGTGCACCACTGACACTGTGCCTCTTATATATAAGAACCTTGCTATTATACTGTCAAGCTTATCAAGAGTATTAAGTAGCTCTTGATACTGTCTATATATATTTGAAACTGTACACATATTTTGAAACAGCACGATCATGTATTGAAATTGTCTAGGTGACCTAGCTCTCTATGGGTGCTGTATTTTTTGTGTCAATTATATTGCATATGGAATGAATTCATAGCCACGACTGTATCTATGCATGACATATATTTGAATGGTTTGGTGTCATTTTGGATCGTGTCTGGAATAAGTTTAGCATTAGCATATATATATAGTTTCATGAAATATTTCAGGTTTACCTTTTATTGTTTTCCAAGAAGTCGTGTACCTGTGTGTGAACAGGGCACATTTCATTCATTCTAATTTTGTATATTCTAGAAACTCCCTTACCCATCCTTATGTCTCATTATTTATTGTAAACATGTGTCATAAGGCACATGATTATTCACAGTGTCACAGCGTTTCACCGGGGTGTTCGCGTGACCCCATACTGAGAATGCAAATTTATTCTGCTTACTGGTATTGCTGCCGCGTAGTTTCCGCCGCAGTGGAGTTGTTGGTCTTATTAGCCTCGTTCACACGAGACCTCGTATTTCTGAAATACCAGATTTATTTGCGAAATACCGAATCTGAGACAAATACGCGGCTGAGCGTTCACACGCGGATTCGCGGCTCCAGAAATACGGTATTTGCGAGCTGCGAGCTGCTTTGAACAATCAAGCAAACAATGCGAAATAAACAATACCCTCGTTCACACGAGACCTCGTATTTCTGAAATACCAGATTTGCGAAATACCGTATCTGAGACAAATACGCGGCCGAGCGTTCACACGCTGATTCGCAGCTCCAGAAATACGGTATTTGCGAGCTGCGAGCTGCTTTAAACAATCAAGCAAACAATGCAAAATAAACAATGCAATGCGCACCAACTACCGATAAAATACGTAGACTGGTCCACGCTCGACAGTTCCACTCGCGTTACACTGGACCAGTCTATAAAATACGCGGCTTCAGAAATCCGGTATTTAGCGTTCACACGAGGAAATGCGCGGTCCAAGAAATCTGGTATTTCTCAAGCACGGCAAATTATTCGGGGTCTGGGAAGCCTCGTATTTACATGAAATACCGGATCTGTTTAGATACCGTATTTCTTGGGCCTCGTATTTTGCCTCGTGTGAAACGATAAATACCGGAGTTGCTGCTACGTTCTGAACGCGCGCTATGCAATGCGCCACCAACTGCGTAAAATTACGTTCAGACTGGTTCCGCGCTCGACAGTTCACTCGCATTACACTGTGGAACTTGTTCGAGCGGCGGAACCAGTCTAAAAATACGCGGCCTTCAGAAATCCGGTATTAGCCGCACACGAGGAAATTGCCGGTCCAAGAAATCTGTATTCTCAAGCACGGCCAAATTATTCGGAGGGCGTCTGGGAAGCCTCGATATATTACATGAAAACCGGATCTGTTTAGATACCGCTATTCTTGGACGCGCATTTGCCTCGTGTGAAACGCTAAATACGGATTTCTTGCTACGTGTGAACGCGGCTTATTATTAAGAAAGTGAAGTGTTGAGAAGACCATAACACTGCAGCCGGAGTGCCTGGCTTGTTACGTGGCTGTTTTTTTTTTTGTAAGAACTATCGAGACAAGATGTTATTTTGCCAAAATCTTACCGGGCCATCTTGCTGAGCGTCATGCACAAACGGCTTAGAATAATATAGTGAACACGAAATCCGGGTCGGCTCTGTTCGTGGAGCCGGAACTAGCTGTAGTATAGGTCTACAGTGTGACTGCATGCAGTGAGTTATTCATCTCGTGGATGAACTCGACTTTTCACTCGTTGCTGTGAGGTGCTGTAACCTCCATTCTGTCACAGCGATGTGTAATACCAGTAGTGTAAATATAGAGATACTCTGATAGAGATAGATATCTCTATATTATACACTCCTGTAATATATTTAACAAGGAACAGTAGCCTCTAGGTTCTAGGGTTATATTTCAGCTAATTTAGGTTATAATTGCGCTATCATAAAAATTTCATGTTATCACCATTAGAATATTTTATAAAAAATGTTTTAAAACAAACGACCTACAGTTTGCATTTCAACGACTGGGTGGCGCACCAAAGCGCACGATCTGAGAATGTTGCGCAAAACACTTTCCAGCCAAGGCTACAGACGAGGGTATTTCTTATTTATTGCTTTAAAATGCAAAAGGATTCGTAATACACGTATGTACTTATAATTATCTTATACTGTATAAGATAATCTTATACATGTATCTTATAAACGACTATATGTTAGTTCATAATATGGATAAATTTGCCCTACATGACCACATCGTTCGGTTAAATAGCATTTAGCGTATAAATATAATTGCAAGCTTTTGTGATTAGCCCTCGGTCATTTACCTGCAAAAATAAAAATGGTCAAATACGGCACTTTTTCAGGGTGCAGCACGGTTCGCGGGTGTCACTGGCCGCCGTTCAAGATTCGTAGGTTGATGTGTAAATAATTAACTTAAAGTCATCTGGGACAAAATAACATGTGCGGTATAGACGATTATGTTATACAGTAAGTACAGTGATGCAGTCAAATCCTAAGAGGCTACATGTCCTTTAAGATACCTCCGCGCAAGCGGAGGTCATGTAATCGGTCCTCGGGTGTGTTCGTGTGCTGTGTTCGTGTGGTGTGTGTAGGCGCTTGCGCGCATCGATTCAGCAGGTCAGCTCGCCTTATGTGTCCAAGTCAGTCAGCCAGCTTGCCTTAGGCGTCCAGTCAGCAGCAGCGCGCAGGCGAGGCCAGTTGTTATACACATACATGTTACATCGCTCGCGGAGGTTAGCACCTCCGTGAGTGCGCCTCTGTCTAGTTTATAGATAATGATTATTGAATTAATCCTGGTTATACAACGTGTTGTGTGATATTAGGTGGATGTCACGTTCATCGATGTATACTCGATCAACCTTATTGACATGTGGGCTCGAACCTAAGCGCTTGATTATCAAAATCCTATCATGATTATCGGAAGAAAAAAAAAAAAAAAAATTCAGGAAATTTAACTGGTAAAGACTTGCAACAAAAACGTATACAGAGTATATCACTTTATTAACATATACATTACTATACACACAGTACTTAGTAAACAGTGCAAAACAAACAGTAAACAGGGCTTAAACAAGCAATATCTGCACACGCACGACACTTACCACACGCGAGGCATTCACCAACCCCGAGTAACGATTGTAACCGATAACAACATCGATTGACATATCGACAGTATTGGTATATATATCTAATTATAATAATAGTATAGATTATTCCAGAGTTCCATAATTGATAAATGTTCTCCATGTATATCGAACCTGATATTATGTAGTGGTTGTAAAGCAGGTGTGAGAGATGCGGGAGTTGTAATGGTATAGGGCGATATTATTGAGCAAAAATGTGAATGGGGCCAGTAAAACAGCCAAAAGTAGTTCACAGCATGAAACCCGTTTCCCCAATTTAACCATAAAACTAACTGCGTAGTGAGCGCAGCTCTGTGCTTTTTGTATTTTTTTTTTTCTGTCAGCTGGGCACTGGTGAACGTTCAATAAAAGAAGATGGGTAAATAAACACGAATGTAATTTCCTACCAAATTCGCTTAATACCCAAGAATATAGCTTGTTTCTCTACTCTTTTCCGCTATTATGTGTGATAATTCCCTGTTGAATGCCGTTCAAAGGCTCCTCTGCAACACAATTAAAAGTACACCGCACGCACGTCGCTGTGCACAAACAACACGGATATACAAAACATATATATATATATATATATATAAGAAGAGGGCAAGAACAACAATAATATTATATAATATATATATATAAGAACTATATTCTTGTTGTTTGTGCACAGTGGCGTGCGTGCGGTGTACTCATGTGTTGCAGAGGAGCATATGAATGGCATTAGGCAAAAGGGGATAATACAGAAACCTTTGGTAGTAAATACATTTCGTGTTTATTTAATACCATCATTTTACTATTGAAAAGTGCCTGGGCTTGTGTCCTGTTAGGCAATTGCGATAAGAACTATAGGTGAATGGTAGCTCTGTAGACCCGTTCAGGTCATGCTAGCATTGCGCGGTGCCATTGGTTTGCGTGAGGATGTGCTAACGGCAGGTATATATGCTTATCATTTCAGGCATATAGGTAAAAGTGGGTGTACGACAACAGTCGAGATGTACGGCATATCTCAACTTCTACTGGTGGTAAAGAAGAATGCATTGCTCCGACGCCGGCAGCCTGTTAGTATACTGGTCACTCAGTTCATTTTTCCGTTTGACACAGTGACACTATATATTTAAACAACAAGAATGTACAATGTAACCCACGTTTTAGTGCGGGTACAGTGTATATATATTATATGTACGTGTACCATGCATCCATGTGGAACGATTTAAAAGCAGAGCAGACAGGTTGTACCTGTTGTATGTATTTTATATAGTTTGAAGTTCGCAACAATGCTTTTCGCTTTCGGAAAGTAAATGGTCTCGCAATCTCGAGAGCGAGTGCGTATCCTTGGATTACATAGTATAGCTTATAGCGGTAAAATACAGGCAATCCTGTTACCGTAGTACAACTCTTCCCATGAGCCACTGCGCGAACACGTAGAAATGAGATGCGCACGCGGGTTTCATTGTACGCGAGTTTCATTGTGGTTGGTCGTGTTCCAGTTTCCAGGCTGCATTTAAATTCAAATTGGAAGTTTTATTACAAGATGCTGAAGTGATTAACTGTAATAATCTTAAAACCCAACATTGTTTTATCTTTTTATAAGCCGCGCGTTGTGTCCGTAGAATGGTTGTAGCATTGATATTGCACTAGCAACTTAGCAAGTATGTGTCACAGAAATAGTCAGGCAGGCAGAAAGGCGAAGGAGAACAGAGGAAAGGGAAACAGATACACGGACAGGAAGTCGAGCGGATAGTTGGACGGATGGACAGAAAGATTATAGATAGAAAAATTGGACAAACAGACAGACAGTCAGAGAAGGACAGGCAGGCAGGCAGACATGCAGGCAGACAGGCAGTGAAAAAATACATTATACAGATAGAGTGGAGAGTTAAAAGTTCTCAAGCCTCCACTCTTATACAGTAATTCTAGTTATTGTGAAGATTATGTGACTTAGACTTAACAATAAATAGTAAAAATTTTAAAAAATCCATCCATATTTATGATGTAACAAAAGTGAGAACAATATACAATACCCAAGGAAATCTGGATTAATACTTTATACAATAATTAAATTGTATACTGACTATGGTATCATATGGAACTAAATGGTATTCTGACTACTTGTAAATGAATCAAATCCAGACACGTGAAGTGATAGGTAAAAATGCGGAATTTGATAACAAACTCGAAGCCTGGAAGCCTAGTACACCGAGTTCTTGCTTATCATCCTGGCTACATTCTTATGTAATCAATTTTCCCGTATAGGAAATCCATGAAATGCACTATATGGTTACACCTCCCAGCTTCCCTTTGCCCCACATATACGTAAACATATAGAAGATAAAGTCATTGGAATTTTTACAGAACATGATATACAATCCTAAAAGAGAAATAACCTAAATTAATGTTTAATTAATAAGATAATAATATGATGTAGAATAGTATATAATAGGTAGAGGAGAGGAGGGTGACGATCAGGTTACTGAGATTTGAGTACATGGCTCCCCTTGCTTAGAATTTATTTTTTTCCCTTGCTTATATTTATAATTAATATCACGATAAGGAGAAGATAACGAGAATTGCTAAACTCGAGTGAAGCAGTGCACATTGTGAACATTTTGAACAAGCGTCATGTATCACAATATTTTGATGTCAGGATATCACAATATTTTGATGTCAGGATATCACAATATTTTTAGCATATTTCTTCCTAGTCTAGACAGGTAATCAATTATTCCAGATAATAAGTATGTTCAAGATGAGTTTAATTAAGGAAAAAGTCTGATAAACAATCGATAGGACAAATGATGATTTAAGAAGATACATGAGAAAGAGTGTATATATACCTTTTTTAAATATAAAAAATATGATAATTAAGCGACACCAATTAAGCAGGCAATTGTAGTCGTTTTTTACAGCATGCATCATTATGTTGTGCAATCTCACTCAGATAAGCTAAAAAAACATGTACATTGTTTACAGGGTCTTTTAGCATTTGAACTGTTATGGCCATTGACTGTATTTGTGATACTGTGGATCTTGAGAAAGGAGATCCCACCAGTACCTGTACCAAACTGTAAGTACTTCGATCCCTAAATTATATTACTCTAACTATTTATAAGCACATAAACAGGCCTCATATAGGATCATCAATCAAGTTGTATCCTGTGGTGAGTGCTGACAGATTTGTCATTATTCGCCCCTGTTTGTATGGCATGGTATATTTTGCACATCTGTTCGTTACGAGTGTTTGATTGTTTTACGTATGTTAGGAGTATGTTGTAGGATTATGAGAGAGAGAGAGAAAGAGAGCGTGAGAAAGAGAGAGTGAGAGAGCCAGAGAGAGAGAGAGAGAGAGAGAGAGAGAGAGAGAGAGAGAGAGAGAGAGAGAGAGAGAGTGGGAGAGTGGGAGAGTGGGAGAGTGGGAGAGTGGGAGAGTGAGTGAGGAGTGAGAGAGTGAGAGAGTGAGTGAGAGAGTGAGAGAGAGAGAGAGAGAGAGAGAGAGAGGAGATGAGAGTGAGAGTGAGAGTTGAGAGTGAAGTGAGAGTGAAAGTGAGAGGTGAGAGTGATGAGTGAGAGTGAGAGTGAGCAGGTGAGAGAGAGAGTGAGAGAGAGAGAGTGAGAGTGAGAGTGAGAGTGAGAGTGAGAGAGAGAGAGCGAGAGCGAGAGAGCGAGAGGCAGACAGAGAGACGGGGGGGGGGGAGAATAAGAAAGATTGCGAAGGTGTAGCAAGAATTCCTTGGCTTGGAGATAAGTGTAACAGAAGATGCAACGAAAACTCTTGAATCAGGGAATAAGTTTCAGTGAACTATGGGGTTTCAGTAACAGGTAGTGGTATCTTTTAGGGTATGGTGTATGTATCAATACAGCTGTGGCACTGTGTCATTAGAATCTTATTCCTCTGCTCATCACTGGATTTTATACCCAGGCATCAGCCCTTCACAACACAACTTGTGTCATCTTTAAATCTAATCACATGGTATCCATCCCGTTGAATCAGTAGTAGTCTATATAGTTCCTTGTTGTTTTTCATTTTTTATTCACAGCCAATTGCTGACACTTCAGTGATACGGATTACGACCCGAAATCTCAATTTAGCTAGCACCCTAGATCATTTAGCTTATATCAACAAATAACCTAAGTACGCAATTCATGGAATTGCTGGATTAATTGCATATTGACTATCTAATAGGAAACAATTAGTTTCTGAGGCTCGCTAAATTCTGAGACGTTGAACATTTAAGCTGTTGTTGTTCCACGTGGTTATACTCTTAATCCACCTAATTTCTTGGTCTACACAAACGATCTGTTCTAGTCCAATTATCAGATTATGTGCAGATGACTCCAATATATATTTGGCACTCAGTTAAGTATCCTTATTCCCCGGGCCCTATTCGCCCTATTTTTTAAACCCAGTTTATGCTTATGGACGCACTGTAGACGGTAAATGCCACTTTCCGAACAATAACATGATCAAGAGCGTATTAAGAAGCTTCATTATACGCTCTTGACATGATGTATTACCTCCAAAAGCTATCCACACGCGCGCGCTATGGTCTCACGTACCTCTAGAACTATAGCTCTTCGCTCTGCCACAGGCACCTGTGGCAGAGCGAAGGGCTATACTAGTTCTAGAGCTAGGTCTCACGCAGAGCGAAGGGCTATACTAGTTCTAGAGCTAGGTCTCACGCAGAGCGAAGGGCTATACTACAGTAAAAACCCGCGTATAAGAACATAGATTTTTCCAAGTTAGCCTCAACATGTTCTTATTAATAAATGGTGCTTCTGCAAAAGATTAGGCTCAAAAGGATTCATTAAAATAGGTTCTAAATTGTTTTACTTTTAATTATGTACTACTGCTGAAACCGCGACTACGCGCGGCGCTGTATAGGACTGTGATGCATTGTTTACCAGTACCAGTAGTGTTATGTGTAAGGTGGTTATATGGAGAGTTTAGTTGTTGCACATGTTTGTTTTTTTATGGTGGAGATGTCAATACAAAACATGTACAATCATGCTTACACGTAACACATTAACCATTTGTTTGACAGAAGGTAAGAGTCATTTAGTTTAAACATCATTAGCCAGTCTAAAAACAGTTGCTAAATGCTACCCTAATTTTTTTTTATTAAGAACAATTTTTATTTTCAGGCTGAATGTGTTCTTATATATATGCAATTTTTGACGCGCATTTCAGCCTGAGTGTTCTTAATCGACGTGTTCTTTTATGCGGGTTTTTTACTGTATATGTAAATAATGCAGTACTGTGTCTCAATATACAATGCACAGGGTGCTGCATTGTTATTGTTGAGCATGTGGCATTGGCATTGGCATTGTTATTACGCATCGATATTGTGAGTCTCGCTCTTTTTATTTTACATGTGTTTCTTTTTAAGTCTTATCCATGCCATGGAAAATTAAGAACCTACTTTTAAAATCTTAGCCTAAAAAGGTTCTTATGTAAACGGGGTCTAAATGGGAAATTTTAGCCTAACATGTTCTTAAAATCTATGTTCTTATACGCGGGTTTTTACTGTAGTTCTAGAGCTAGGTCTCACGCAGAGCGAAGGGTTATACTAGTTCTAGATAGAGCTAGGTCTCACGCAGAGCGAAGGGTTATACTAGTCTAGAGCTAGGGTCTCACGCAGAAGCGAAGGGGGATAGCTAGTTCTAGAGCTAGGTCTTCACGCAGAGCGAAGGGCTATACTAGTTCTAGAGCTAGGTCTCACGCAGAGCGAAGGGCGTATACTAGTTCTAGAGCTAGAGGGTCTCCACGTCAGAGCCGAGAAGCGGCGCATTACTAGTTCTGGAGAGTTGTCTCCACTGCAGAGCGTAAGGGCTATAACTAGTCAGAGCTAGTCTCACGCAGAGCGAAGGGCTATACTACGAGTAGAGCTAGGTCCTCACGCAGAGGCGAAGGGTTCTATACATGAGTGTCTAGGCTAGAGGTCTCACGCAGAGGCGCAAGGAAGCGAGAAGCTATACTAGCTTCTAGATTAGCAGTCTCACGCAGAGCCGAAGCGGCCTCAACTAGCAGAGCAGGGGACACCAATGAGCGAGACGAACAGCAAGCTGAGTCTCACGCAAGAGCGAAGGGCTATACTAGTTCTAGAGCTAGGTCTCACGCAGAGCGAAGGGCTATACTAGTTCTAGAGCTAGGTCTCACGCAGAGCGAAGGGCTATACTAGTTCTAGAGCTAGGTATCACGCAGAGCGAAGGGCTATACTAGTTCTACAGCTAGGTCTCACGCAGAGCGAAGGGCTATACTAGTTCTAGAGCTAGGTATCACGCAGATAGTGTGAATCAAACATTATAATTTTGGTCGTTCTCGCTCTATGCTCTAGCGTAGCGAAGGGCGTGACTGAGTGTTTGGCCTTGCAAGCGAATTTGCGCGTAATAGAAGCAATTATGTGTACTTTGATGCTCTAACAAAATTGGTTTGGCCATGAGATTTGACAAGTATCTAACTCAGACCTACTGCGTGGTTGATAGTCGCCTGGGTTTGCTCGTCATTTGGCTGTCGTTTTGATCTCTCGTCGGTCATTAAGTGAATTGATAAAATAAAGAGCAACTTCTCATTAGCATTATTAGTCATCTGTGCCATGATGGGCGACCTCCACACGTCGCTGTACTAGTTGAATCTCAATAATCAAGAATGCTTGGGACTAGATCATTTCCAGATATGCAAATGAGGTTGAATAAAATGCAAAATATTATATTCTCTGCATGCTACAGTTACTGATACCAGCAGTGATGGATGGAATATTGATGTTGGGTCTGTATCTAAACAAGGAGAGTACTCGCGTAGTTTTGTGGTACGGTTTAATGAGTATATAGACGTTCGATCAAGCATGGACCATTTAAATCTTACGTTTCAGGATGGTTGCCAGGTTGGTTCAGCAGTTATTTCAGCACTTATTTTGGCACATATTTCGTGGAGCTTTACCCGATACGTGGGATGAGGGGATTACTGAAAGTATAATAAAATGTTATTTCGACTATAGTATGAGAAGATTAAAGACATCTAGTGAACTTTTCCCCAGATAGTAAGGCTAAACTTTGATGAAATCATAGCGCAGTATATTTGTAAGGAATATATAAACCAACTATATCAGTTGGTTGCCATGCAGGGACAATAGATATTGCATAGGTTTTGTTCATTAAATTTAAATTCTAATTAAAAACTTGTCTTTTAACTAGTGACTTTTTGCCAGAAGCACTTTTCGTTCTCAGAAGCTGCCTGCATCTCAGTTGATGCATGAACACGTTTGCCCGCATGTGTGCATTCGTGTGTGTGTGTGTGTGTGCGTGTGCATGTGCCTATGCGTGGGCCTTGACGTGTTGTGTGTGTGCATATGTGCCTATGTGGTAAACTGTGTTTTGATGCATCTGCTGAAATTGTACCTTTAAAACACATTGCCATTTCTCTATATTCGCCTCTCATAGATTTCGAAAATTATTATCTCTGCCAATGAGGATATGTTTTCGCCCCTGTTAGTTTGTTAGTTTGTTGGTTGGTTTGTCTGTCAACAGGATATCTCAAAAACTTACTGACGGATTTTGATGAAATATTTTGGACGGGTTCGTCTTGGGCCAACACATCAATCGATTAGATTTTGGTGGTGATCCAGATCCAGATCTGGATCCAGGATTTAAAAAAAAATGTTGTAGGGAATACTTCGGATGCATTCAAAATTCATAAAAAAATTCTTAAAATTTCATCAAACTATATTGGGTGTACTATAAGTGAGTCTTTCAACTCCCCCGTTACCAGGTTCTCGGTTTGGCATGTGCGAGGTAGTCGCCTTAAGGGTAGTGTCAGGTTGTTGCGTCGACAGATAACAGAAACACAGTATTATCAAAGCTACTCCTCGTGCGTCTATTTCAGCTCAATCAGACAGAACCCTGCAATACACACTCTACGAAACTACACAGATATCTACATACACACAGAATCGTAACCGACTATCAGTAACCTCGTACCGTAAGACGTGGATCGCGAAGTAGCTCGGCAGGGGTGAAGGTGGAAAGTTGAAGCTCATAGGGTTATGTCCCCCAGGGTACTGCCGGAACGTACCCTGGGTAAGGTCCGGTATACCGGAACGTACCCTGG